TCAGTTTTTAAGAAATGTTTTAAGGTGAATGTAGTGGAAAGACTATGTACTCGTGCATGAAAATGGAAAAATAAGACATGTTGAAACTATTCCAGAAATGGGGAGAGGAATATAAAGGAGAATGATGGGGGGGGTGAATTCAACTATGATATATTGTAAGAACTTTTGTAAATGTCACAATGTACCTCCAGTACAATAATATATTAAAAATAAAAAATAAATGTTTTAGATAGGTTAAACCATTACCTATAGCTCCATCTTTGCCAGAGGCATAGATCTTACATAAGCATTTAGAACAAGGAGGAATTACTATGGATTTAGAGTCTTTTTTGAAAAAAGAACATTACAATTAACATTCTTGTAATAAGCTTTTGAAAAAACTTTATCAATGTTTTTAGAAGCAAAATGGATCCAATGGAGCCAGGTGCCAGTGCCACATGCCTGTAATCCTAGCTACTCAGGAGGCAGAGATCAGGAGGATCGCACTTCAAAGCCAGCTTCAGCCAAATAGTTTGCAAGACCCAATCTTGAAGAAACCCATCACAAGAAAGGGCTGATGGAGTAGCCCAAGTGGTAAGAGTGACTGCCTAGCAAGTGTAAGGCCTTCAGTTCAAACTCCAGTGCCACCACACCAACATGGATCAAATGGAGACATATCTTAATAAACTTGTCTTTCCTAACCAAAGTAGTGTTTATCTAGAGTGAAGAAGGATTCTTAACAAGAATTTCATTTACCTTTTTTCAGAGGTGCCTTCATATTGCCACCCAGATCAGGAAGTACTAGTGAAGTATTTTTTCAGAATTTCTTTTATGTAGTTTTTCTCTGTCAGTGAAATCTTGTGGCATGGAAACACTAGAAGTCAGATCAAGCCATGTATTATGAATAAGACAGGCAAAGCTTGTTTATTGGAAGCAGAAGGAAGTCACACTGATCAAAGAGGTGATCAGGCTGTTTCAATGAACAAAGAGCAGCAGGATTTTATCTGATTTTTTTGGCAGTACTGGAGTTTGAACTAAGGGCCTCATGCTTGCTAGGCAGGTGCTCTACCACTTGAGCCACTCCACTAGCCCTTTTTTGGTTACTGTTCTTGTTGGAAATTTTCAAGAGAGGGTCTCATGAACTAGGCTGATTTCAAACTCTGATCCTCCTGATTTCTGCCTCTTGACTAGTTAGGATTGATTACACGCATGAGCCATGGTGCCCACCTTCTCTGATTTTTTTTTGGCAGGGGGGCTGAAATTTGGTAATTGTCTAGTAGTCATGGACACAATCTTAAAAGTTGTATTCTTCTTGTGCACATTCTGGCTTTGTACTTGCTGAGCTAATGGGTGGGTCCACTTTGACCAGAGACTTCTGAGTTACAGCTGGTACATCTTGCATAGAGGAACTGAGTCAAGAACTGCTGAGTCCTTCCTGTTGCTGGTACCATCATCTTGCATAAACATCCTGGAGTCATGGTTTGGTCTGGGCCTTATGGTGAGGCTGCAGGACTTAGGTGCTTGGCTTAGTGAGAAAGCACAGGATGGAGTAAAAGAAATATATCTACTCCAATGAACAACACACCATGCTAACCCTGTGTTATAGTATTGGACAAAACTTCCCAGGTGTTTACCATGTCCACATATAGAAAGCTGAGTGGTCAGACTCAATGGTTTTTGTTTGTTTTTCAGTGCTGGGGTTTGAATTCAGGGTCTTGTGTTTGCTAAACAGGTCCTCTACCACTTGAGCCATGCTACCAGTCTATTTTGCTTGTTTTTCAAATAGGGTCTCTCGCTTATGCCCTGGCCAGCCTGGACTGTGATCCTCCTATTTATGCTTCCCATGTAGCTAGGATGACAGTCATGTGCCACCACAACCAGCTTTTTATTGGTTGAGATGGGGTCTTGAGAACTTTTTGCCTTGGCTGACCTTGAACCATGATGTTCCTGATCTCCACCTTCCAAGTAGCTAGGATTATAGGAGTGACCCAGAGTGCCCAGCTTGGACTCAAAGTTTTTGTTTTGTTTTTTTTAGTACTGGGCTTTGAACTCAGGGTCTTGCACTTGGTAGGTAGGTGCTCTCCCACCTGAGCCACACTCCCAACACAGAATCAAAGGGTTTGAGGCAGGATATGAAGACAGAGCTATCAGGTCTTTTGCCTTATCTTAGTCATCCATCGGGTATCTATAAACTCCAGTGAAGTCAATCTTCTTAATAAAAGTGGCCTTTTTCTTTTCTTCGTATTGGTTTGTAATCCTTGCATCACAGGTGTTACCTGTGTTACCTGTAGTGAAGCTAGTGGGAAACTAATTATGTATTATTCAGCTGTGTGATGTGCAAAATTAGTAAGTTCTAAATTGACTAAGAGGAATAACACTAAAAGGTTTAAAAGGGTTTTTTTTTTTTGCAACAATTCTCCTTTGTCTTTTTATCTTTCATGTAGCATCCTGAACCCCACTAATTTTAGCTTGGTTAAGTCATGTGGGGTTTACTAGTCTACAGACATTTCTAGTTTGTGTACTAACCTGGAGTTTTATGACAAAGCTGTTAAAAGTGTGCTTTGTGTGGGTAACATGTTAAGGGCCCAGAGGTTGTCTTTTGTCTCCTTGTGGAGGTCCCTGTCTCACACATGAGCACAGGGAATGCCAAAAATGCTCGTGTATTCTTTTAATGTAGCCAAATTGTTTCTTCTGCACTACTTTTTCTTTCTTTTGGTGCTGGAGATTGAGTTCAGGTCCTTGTGCACTGAGCCATATGCCCATCTCTGAATTACATTTTTAAGTGTGCAACATGAGGTGGTGCCACTATTGTCTTCAGTGACACAGGCACATTCTTTCCATTTTGTTCATTTTTCCATTTTTAGTAAGGGGAATTTCTGTAAATCAGAGTATACCATTATCCAATAGGATTGTAACAGGGTCCCTCCTTTGGAATTGTCCTTGGTGGTTGTTCAGATTCCCCTCTGGAAAGGTTGTTATTCCTCCCTAATCCTTTTACACCCCTTCCCTTTTGTTCAGCATTCTAAAGGGAATCCCCCCTAAATGGCTAAGATGTTAACTTGCTAAATCTGTTAGATTTACAGATACCAGAACATCTGATGACCTCTGCAACACCCCTCCTTAATCATTTTTTGAAAGTTTTAGCAAGGTTTATTTTATTATAACAGGGTAAAGTATGGAGGGCGGGGAGAGGAGAGGAGAGGAGGGAGACAGAGAGAGAGAGAGAGAGAGAGAGAGAGAGAGAGAGAGAGAGAGAGAGAGAGAGAGAGAGAGAGAAAGAGAGACAGAGAGATTTACTGTTGTTCCCCATGCAGGGAACAAAGACTCTGATGGCTTTGTTCATGTTGGCATCTGTGAAAAAGAATTCCTGGCCTGACATGTCTTCTACCCAATACATCACAGAGGAAACTGTGCAACATGTTGAACAATGATAAAGATCCTCATACTATGAAGAGCTCTTGTAGACAGCGTGCCCTGGTCCTGTCCTATGCTTGCCTTCTTTCTCCATGCATGGCACTGGGCACACTTCTGAGCAAGTTATGCCATTCTGAACATCACCTCTTAATTTATTCTCTAAGGTTTCTTCTAGGAAGCTGATGCCCCACTCTCTAAAAGAGTTCCTTATAAACTAGGGGCTTCATCTTTGTTCAGTTCCACGCTTTGTACAATTTCCTGAAGCTTAACAGGCAGTGGAAGCTGCGAACTGAAGTTCTTGGCAGAAGCCCCCTTAGTCGTCAGTTTAAAAGAATATCAGTTTAAAAAGAACTATGGGAGCTGCCCATTCCAAAGGTCATGGTCCACTGAGAAGTTCCAGAGAAAAAAGGAGACATGGCCCCTGGGATACAAAGACCCTGCTTGACACATGACCTTCCTGCCCTGTTCCTCCTTTCTCTCCCTATAAAAGCCCTTTGTGACTGAGCCCTCTCTCCACAAGATGGAGCTTTGAGATTAAGTTTCTCCATCTTTCAAGATGCCAGCCCTTGAAGAAACTGATTCCTTCCTACCAACTCTCACCTCCCAATTATTGACCTTTGAAAAGCTGACTTCTCCACTAACAGATCAGTGAAAGGCTGGGCTTCTGTATTTTTGAATAGGGGAAGTTTCTCTGAGTATTTATCAAAAGCCAGTGCTCCAGAGTAGCAGGAAATTTGTTTTTGCTTAGTGATTCTCAAATCTTAATGTGTACTGAAGTCATCTGGGCTTATAAAATACAGATTCTGAATCATCAGGCTTGGGTTAGGACCCAAGTTTCTTGAATTCTACCCAACTCCCAGGTGTGTCACACTGTGAGTTGTGAGGATTTAGTCTTTTTACAGTTCTGCATGTCACTGGCAGTATTTCCTGCCACCTTTCAAAAATCCACAAGCTTCACCCTTGAGCCCTCCAATGGGTAACATTGCTCCTCCACAATTGCAGTGTTTGGGGTCACTTCTACAGCCAGACTATTCAGTGATACTTGGCACCATTAAGGTTCCCTTTCTTTTGCTCTTTCAGATATGTGCCTCTGAGTTAGAGCATACCCCCAACTTTAACTACTATTCCTAATAAAAAATCCTTATCTCCCAGTCCTGTGATTCTGCTTTCTTATGGTTAAGACAATCAGTTCTTCTTTGTATACTATGGTATCTTTTTATTTTACATTAATATTTGACTTATTTATGCTAGGCACTCTGCTGAGCAATTTACATGCATTTTTAATTATCCCATTAACTCTTGAGGTAGTACCATTATTGTTCCAATAATATAAATAAGACTTAAGTTTACAAAAAAATGCTCCCCCAAAATTAGGGCTAGAAAATAAAAGAGCAAGGATTAGAGGCCAGATGTATTTGATGCTTGAATGAGTTCTTAATTCTGAATAAGTATCCAGAGAATGAGGTGGATAATGACATGAGGCCTTTTACACTATTTTTATGATGTGAGCTTTAACCAAAGAACTATACAATGCCACTGAGGGATTTTAATGGTAGAGAAATGACATGACTAAAATATAAGCCTGTCTGAAATGTAGACAACTGACAGAGGCAAAGGGTGAGTACAAGAAGACCAATTAGAAAGCTATTTCCATATTCCACATTAAGCAAATTAGTATGTATTGGACACAGGAAATAAAATAAACATGGGCCAACTGGGTCAGAATCCAGACACAATTAGGAGATAAAACCTACAGCTCTTGGCAACTGATTGGAAGTGGAGGGTGAGGGACAGGAAAGGGTCAAGAATGACTCCATAGTATGAATTTTCTCATGATGAGCAAGGTGTGCACGCTGCCTGAAAGATTTCCTACAATCTTTACATTCATAGGGTCTCTCTCCAGTATGAATTCTCTGATGTAGAGTAAGAGATCCACTATAGCTAAAGGCTTTCCCACAAATATTGCATTCATAAGGCTTCTCTCCAGTATGAATTCTCTGATGTTGAGCAAGGCCTGCATTCTGGCTAAATGTTTTCCTACATTCTTTGCACATATAGGGTTTTTCCCCAGTATGACTTCTCTGATGTTGTGCAAGTGATGAACTATTGCTGAAGGCCTTCCCACATTCAATACATTCATAGGGTTTCTCTCCAGTATGAACTCGCTGATGTTGATCAAGGTATGCAATCTGGCTGAAGGCTTTCCTACAGACTTTACATTCATAAGGTTTTTCCCCAGTATGAACTCTCTGATGTTGAGAAAGGTGTGCATATTGGCTAAAGGATTTCCTACATTCCTTACATTCATAGGGTCTCTCTCCAGTATGAATTCTTTGGTGTACAATTAGGTATCCCCGATGGCTAAATGCTTTTGCACACACATTACACACATAAGGTTTCTCTCCTGTATGAATTCTCTGATGCTGAGCAAGAAATGAACCATTACTAAAAGCCTTTCCACATTCGATACACTCAAACGGTCTCTCTCCAGTGTGAACCCTCTGATGTTGAGTCAGATGTGCAATCTGACTGAAGGCTTTTTTACATTCATTACACTGATAAGGTTTCTCTCCAGTATGAACTCTCTGGTGTTGAGCGAGATGAGCATTCTGGCTGAAGGCCTTCCTACATTCTTTACATTCATAAGGCTTCTCCCCAGTATGTATTCTCTTATGTTGTGCTAGGTTTGCACTCTGGCTGAAGGATTTCCCACACTCAACACATGCGTAGGGTTTCTCTCCTGTATGAATTCTCTGGTGGAGAGTGAGAGATGAGCTCTGGTTGAAGACCTTCTCACATTCATTACACTTCAAAAGCTTCTTTTCCACATAGACCTTCTTGTGTTTCATTTCAACTGATTTTTTTTGGTAACTTCTCTTTTGTGGCTCATGCTTATGTCCTCTTTCTGTGGTGGGGAAATTCTGTTGTATATCTAGTATTGCATCCTTATGGAATGTTTGCCAAGATTTATTATACCCATTACGTTGATCTTCAGGGAGGAATTCTTTACGAGAGATGATCAATTCATTAAAATGTATCTCCTGACTTCTTAACTTGTTTTTCAGCCACTCCTCACTTTCACAGTCTTCTTTAAAATTAGGACAATCAAGGCTACACCTAAGATGGCTTCTTCCCATTGTCACTACTCTGGCTGGTTCTTCATAAATATCTTCCTTTGATGAAAATTCACTGTTTTTAAATACATACTCCCAATCTAAAAGATCAAGAAGACAAATATATTTTGTATTTATTCATTGTAAGAAAAGAAACTTCTATGACAAAAATAGGGGAAAAAACCCACAAAGGAAATTCAAGCATTTAACAGCTTTTAGTGCAGCCTAAAATGTATGAGATTATAAACAATGAGAGGTTAAGAGTTGATTAAGGACATAAATTAATCATGTATAACCCATAAAGTACATGTCAGAAAAACAAAAAAATGAGGCCATCTAAAATCACAATTATCATTTACATTTAAATTAATACTACTCTTTAAACATCTTTCCACCCTTGCTGCAGTCTTCAAACATCTTTCCTTATTTCCTTTCAAACTAAGATTTAAGAATGTCAAGAATATAGCATAAAAACTTTCATTGGGTCCCTAGCCCTAAAGACTTGGGATGTACATGAAACTCTGGTTGTTCATGAAATTCTATTCCTAAAATCTGGAAGTTTGAGAAAGGTCTCCCTGAAAATCATTTTCATGTGATTTATTTCCAATTAAATATAAATTTCCATTTGATTCTAGGAGCCTTCATGGAAAAAATTCAATCAAGCTGCTTGCTTTTATTAACTTAGCATAGGCTTTAATCTGCCTCCCCCATTCCCTCCCAAATCAATCACCTCTCTTTTTTTTTAATTTTTATTGTTTTATTATTCATATATGCATACAATGCTTGGGTCATTTCTCCCCCCTGCCCCCACCCCCTCTTTTTTTTTTAAGACCAAAGTCTCACTATGTTGCTCAACCTGGGCTTGAACTTGAAATCCTCCTGCCTCAACCTCCTAACTAGCTGGGATTACAGGCACATGCCACCACACCCAACTACATCAACTCATCCTTATGCTTAGGACTTTCCAGGGGTTCTTCATCAGACTTATAATAAGGCCAAAATTCCTACCATGATTTACAAAATTCTGCATAACCTCACATTCTCTGACCTTATTTTTCACTACTTTTTTGCTTGTCATGTAGGCACTCATTTTACTCACACTGTAAGAACTTTTAAGTGTTAGGCATGATGGCATATGCTAACAATTCAGCACATGAGAGGCTGAGGCAGGAGGACGTGAGCTTGAGGCCAGCCTGGGCAACATAGTGAGACCCTGTCTCAAAAAAAAAAAAACTGTGGTAAATAAATAAAAATGCAAGGCCAGTCATTCCTACTATTCTCATCAGACTGAAAAGTTAAGGATGTATGTTATAATCACTATAGCCATGATTCACAAACTGCATTGGAATCACATAGAGAACTTGTTCAAGTGCAGACTGCTGTGCCACATGCAGGGTTTCTGGCTGAGCAGGTCTGAATGAGGGCTGACAACCTGCTGACAACATCTCTAAAATTCCTGGGGAAGCTGCGGGGTCAAAACTGTATTTTGAGCATTACTATCCAACAGCAGCCACTAAAGACAGAATGTAAAAAGGTATACCTAAAAAGCCTGCAAATAAATTAAAACTTTTTAAATAACCTCAAATAAGCCAAAAGAAGATAAAAGGGGGAAAAAGATGTTAAAAAAAAAAGAACAAGGGGAAAAAGTGAGAGAATGGCAGACCCAAATCAAATTATATGAATGAGTATAGGTTATGTACCCCTAATCCAAAATGCTTGGGACCCAAAGTATTTTGGATTTCAGAGTTTTCCATTTTGAAATATTTGCATATACATAATGGAATATCTTAGGAATGGGACCCAAGTCTAAACACAAATTAATTTATACTTCATATACATCTTATATGTGTAACCTGAACAGTGTTACACAATATTCTTTTATAATTTTGTAGGTAATTTTCATGGTATGAAATTTTCTACTTGTGCCATCATGTTAGCATTCAAAAAGTTTTAGATTTTGGAGCATTTCAGATTTTTGAATTGCAGATACCCAATCTAAATTAATTTATATTATATTTATACATAGTAATAGACTACATATCCCATTAAAAGTAGAATATATACATATATATATATATATATATACATAATACTGGGGTTTGACTCAGGCCTCATGCTGCTTGTGAGGCAGGTGCCCCAACACTTGAGCCATGAGTTTAGCAGGTAGAATGTATAATAGTAGATAAAAAAGGAAAGACTCAATGTTGTCCACAGAAATTTCACCTTAAAAATAAGAAAACAGTAAAAGTAAGCAGTAAACAAATGGAGAAAGACGCAAGATACAAACAGTAAGCACAAAGCTAGAGTGACTATGTTCATATCAGATAAAATAAACTTCAAAACAGAGTATTAGCCCCAACACTTGAGCCATAGTTTAGCAGGTAGAATGTATAATAGAGATAAAAAAGGAAAGATCAATGTTGTCCACAGAAATTTCACCTTAAAAATAAGAAAACAGTAAAAGTAAGCAGTAAACAAATGGAGAAAGACGCAAGATACAAACAGTAAGCACAAAGCTAGAGTGACTATGTTCATATCAGATAAAATAAACTTCAAAACAGAGTATTACTAAAGATAAAGAGGGACATATAGTGATAAAACGATCTGTCTACCAAGAAGAGATAATAATTACTAATGTGTGTTACCTGATACAAAGCCTCAAATATATAGAAACTGACAATGTAAGGAAGAGACAGGCAATTCCATAATCATACTAGGTGACTATTTTTTTTATCCTAGGTGATCTTAATATCAACTGTTCAGTATGTATTCCATTGTATGTGCAGTAAGACAGACCACATGCTGGATCTAAGCCAAGTTTCCGTAAATTTAAAAGTACTGAAATCATAGTTTGTCCTCTAATATTAACAGGATTAAATTAAAACAAAAAATGATGTCTAATAAACTCAAAATACTATGGATTAAAGCATATTGTACCCATACAGTTCACAGGTCAGAGAGTATAACGAGAGAAATCAGAAGATATCTTGAGTTAACTGATATCGGTAATCTAATCCACTAGAATTTAAGGACACAGCTAAAACATCTGTAACTTTAAAAGAATTATTTTAGACAAAAACAAAAAGATTATAAGTCAATAATCTAAGATGCCACCTCAAAAAGGCAGAAAAGACTAAAATAATCCTAAGGAAAGGAGATGCAAAAAAGCTAAGTAGAAAAATAACAAATAATCAACAGAGAAAAGACAACCAAAACTAGGTCCTTTGAAAAGATCACTGACAGAGAAACAAAGATCGTAAAACTCAGCAACCAGAGCTGAGTCCTACAGACAATGAAAAGATGAGAGACATCAAATAACTCAAGTACACAGAGGACACTGATGAAATGTGCAAATCTCAAAAGGGATAGCCTATCAAAGTTGATTCAAGAAGAACTAAGATGTAATACTGCTTAATATTTGAAAAACATTATGCAATTGCTATATTAACAAATAATAGCTAGAGTAACAAATATAGCTAAAGAAGAAAAAAATCACATGACCATTTCAATAGAGTAGAATGAATATTTGATCCATTTCCTATAAAAATTCTTAGAAACCAGGAATGGAAAAGAACTGCTTCAAACTGATTGAAGATTTCTTAGAAAAATCTACAGCATACATCAACTTAGACTGGAACAACAAATTAAAAATTAAAAAAACAGTAGAACAATGTAGGTATATCTATTCTTATCACCTCTAGGCAACATTGTACAGGAAGTGATAGTTGTTGCAATATATCATGAAAAAGAAGGTAAGGATCAGAAAGGAAAGAATAAAACTGCCTTTGCAGATGGCATGATTATCTAAGCAAAAAATCCTCAGAAACCTACAAACTACTACTTAGAACTACTACCAAATGAATCTAGCAAGTTCCTAAGACATAAACTTAATATGAAGATCAATTTACATTTTTGTATACTAGCAGTAAAATGTTAGAACACAGAATTCTATTTATAATATCAACCAAATGATAAAAGATCCCAGAAAAAAAATTTAAAGACTATGTAAGACCACGACACTGGATACTACAAAATATTCCTAGGAGACATTAAAGAAAATTGTAATAAATCCATGAGCTGTACTTATGGATTAGAAAAATCAGTGTTGTTAAAATGTCAATTCTCCCCCAACTTATGCAGAGATTAAATATAATCTCAACCAAAATCCAAGTTTTATGAAGTAGCAATTCTCAAATTCATTTAAAGATTTACATGAAATGCAAATGATCTAAACTAGTTAAAGCAATTTTATAAGTTGCACTATATATCAAAATTTAGTATAAAGCTACAGTAATAAAAAAAGTGTGGTTGTGGTGAAAAGACAGACATATAAATCAACGAAACAGAACAGAGTCTAGAACTAGACCCACACGTTAGTATTTATCTCATTTTTAAAATCAAAGGTAACAAGGCAACACAATGGGAAGGGAAAGTCCCAAGGGAAGGTACTAGAGAAACTGCATATTCATGGTAGAAAAGAATGAGCCACACAACCTTTACTTCACACTAGATGTAACAATTACCCAAAATTGATCACCGACCTAAATGTAAAAACTAAAATTACTAGAAGAAAATCTTTGTGACCTAGCAGTAGTAAGGATTTCTTGATAGGACACAAGAAGCTCCAACCAACACAAATTATTAAACTGGATCTTACAAAAATTTAATACTTGCTTCTTCCCTCAGATAGCAGCAGGAAAACAAAAAGGCAGGCCATAGTTGGCATATACACATACATACATAAAAATGACAACTTGTTTTAAGCCTGTGTAGAGCTCTTACAACTCAGTAAGAAGACAACCCAAGAAAACATTTGCAAGAACACTTTGTGAAAGATATATATGCATGACCAACTATTAATCACAGAAATACACATTAAACCAAAATACAGCCATTAGAACAACAAAAACTAAAAACTATGATTGGTGAGGACCTGTAGCAATTGAAATACCCCTGCATTGCTAAAGGGAATAGTACAATCCTTTGGGAAAGCTGTGAGCTTCTTACAAAGTTAAACACATAAGTATCATGAGTCAGTTTTGGCATTTACGAAGGAAATGAAAACATATGTCCACACAAATTATTGGACATGACAGCTTTGTAGCAGCTTTATAATAGCCCCAAATCAGAAATGACCAAATGTCCATCAGCAGGTGACTGGATAATGTGTTTGTCTATGCATAGCGAAAATTATTTGATGGAACCCCACTCAGCAATAAAAGGAGGTATCTATTCATACATGCAGCAATGAGGGCGAACTTAAAAACCATCATGCTGAGTGAGGTAGACCATGGGTAACGTAGGCCATACTGTAGGATCCAATTTAGTTTAGATACAACCTGATCTAAAATGGCAAGGACCATATCAGTGATGGTTTGTAACTAAGGGTAGAAAGAAGGATGCACTGCAAAGACATACAAGCCAGCATTAAGGATGATGAAATGCCTGTCTTCATGGTTTTGTGGTGTACGTGACTGTCGAAACGTCTCAGTTTATATGAATGCAGTCTACTGTCTACAAATATTCCTTCATATTAATACAGTCTGACCAAATACAATAACATAATCTGATCAAAATATGATGAAACCACCTCCTTAATAATTTAATCACTAAGAATGAAAAATTAACAGATTAACCTCTCATTTCAGCAATATGGAGAACAAAATAAATGAGAAAATCAAAGGGAAAATTAATAAGGAAAAAAGAAAAAATAGAATTGGAAAAGAGAAGACAATAACACAAATCTATAAGCTGGGTTATGAAAAACACACAGAACTGATTTATGGATAGCAACCTAATAACTTTGTTTAACAATAGTAATTATATAAAATAAGATAGTAACATTGGGAATTATTATAGATATAAATGAAATAAAAAGAATTATGAGACTCTTTGCTCAAATTCATGTAAATAAATCTGTCAACCTAAATGAAAAGAATAATTACATTAAAAATTAAAATATGTAAAATTTAACCAAAGGCAGACACCATAGTGAGGCAATGTACCAGAGGATGCAGAGAACGTTTGCAAAGGCCTCCACCTCAGGCTTCCCACCTCAACCTCTCCTCACCAGGTGATCAATCGATCACAGCAACATCTCTGAATCAGACTCTTTCTGAACCTCTGTCCCCAGTCCAGTCGCAGGATACATTTCTGCACTTGGTAATCTTCACATCTCATAAAAACAAATTTCATGTCCCCACCCGTGAAACATTTCCTCCTACCAACCTATTTTCTTTTTTTATTTTTTATTGTTGAGCTGGGGGTATATTGTGGCATTTATAGAAGTTCTTACAATACATCAAATATATCATACTTGAATTCACCCCTCCACCATTCTCCTCTAACCCCCCACCACCACCAATCTATTCTCCTGATCTATTTAATGCTGTCACCTTCCAATTTCCTGGATTTGAATACAGACTGGAAATGCTTTTTTTTTTCTTTGATAGGTTATAAACCTCTGAATAACCCGTGGGACTGAGCAGGATGCTGTGCTCAAAGCAGAAACTTGAATAAATAAATAAATGCATTAATTCTTCAGTCTAAAAGGAATAAGAAACTGGAAATTTTTTAAGAATGGAATGAACTAACTTATGCAAAACAAAAAGGCAAGGAAAGCAGATACTGTGACTTTTGGACCCAGAGAACAGGAAAATGGGTTATCAGAGAAGATGGTGACTTGTGAGAGAATACATACAGAATAAAGTGGGGAGCTCATGCTAAAGATGCCTCAATGGCATCTTGAATAAGAGCTACCCAGAAAGCACTGATTATGAGCTGGAGCCTTTCCTGGCAATGGCATCTGCTTCCCTAGTTCTCTTGCACTCACCATGGCACACGCCTCTTGTTCCCTCCTTCTTCAATATCCAGGGCTCTTTTCCTTGTTCCAATAATGAGATCACATCTGGCTTATAACAGAAATTCCTGCTTATAAGAAATAAAAGAGGAATTAGCCACTCCTGTAAATCATATCAAGTTTCTTGGTCATCGGGAAGGTAGGAGGACTGTAAGAGGGAGTAGAGGAAGAGGTGAAGTGCTCTGAAGAAGGGGAAGATAAAGGAAGAAGTAGGAATACTTGAATGAAGCACGAGTTCTGCAAAACTCAACCTATTTTGGGAACACAAGAAAGAGAAAAACAATTTAAAAAATTGAAATGGGGTCTTTCTATGTTGCCCAAGCTGGCCTGAACTCCTGGGCTCAAGCGATCCTCTGGCCTGAGCTCAAATGGGGTCTACAGACCAGGCTTAAGACAGAGACATTTAGTGAAGCACATCGGAGGCTTCCTAAACACTTCACTGAAATTGAATTGTGTGCAGATTCTGAATTATGGGGTGACCTCCTTACCCAGTGACACCAGGCTTCTGTAGTTCTCCAACATCACCTTCCTGTACAAATTCCTCTGAGCAGGGTTCAGCCATTCCCACTCCTCTTGAGTGAAATTTATAGACACATCTCCAAATGTCACCAAATCCTGAAAAGACACAAGCACAAGCTTGCTCAACTAGTAAGGACCTACAAATGAGTAACTTGGACAAGAGCACTCATATTTTCCTCTTGGAGTTAACACTTCATGAGCGCAGATCTATGCTACTAGCCATGTGGCCATTTAAATTTAAACCAATTAACATTTAAAAATTCAGTCATTCTGTCACATACCAGTCTCCACAGCCATGTGCACTGTACTGGACCACGCATTACAGAACACTTCTATCATCAGTGTGAGGAAATACATTTGGATACTGCTGCTCTAGATTTCTGAATCTGGCTTATCTTCCTCTTCACAGACCTTAATCTGTATTTACCTATCAGGTAATGGTTTTTATATTTAACCTGTAGAATCTCTAAGTGTGAGGAAAAGTGTTTTTTTCCTAAATGAATAAGCCATCCTTTCCCCACTAGTAAGCAAACTAGTAGATGTGAGATTCTGTGAAGACAAAGACAATGTCTATTTGTATTTCCCACAGCACTCAGTAAGTCTGGAATAACTGTATGTTTAGTGAATGATAAATATTTTCTATTCCATTGAATTTTTTTCTCTTTTTGGCAGTATTGGGAGCTGAACTCAGGGCTTCATGCTCGCTAGGTAGGTGCTCTACCACCTGAACTGTTACCGTTTGGCTTTGGTTATTTTTGAGATAGGGTCTTGCTTTTTGACTGGACTGGCCTGGACCTCAAATTAAAATCTTCCTGATCTCCACATCTGACTACCTAGGATAATAGGCATGAGTCACTGCATCTGACCTGGAATTTTTATACTTGCATTTTTTCTAGATATTACATACTAATCTTTTCATTTGTTCCTCTGGCTCCCATTTCACACTATTTAATGTTTTTGTTGTTATAGATTTGTGTACTTCTTTAAAATAACAGACTCAAGGGCTTTACCCATTACTTTCTCTTTCAAAAAAATTTTATTTTTCCATATTAATTCCACTAATCTTAACTTAGAATAAAGTATCTCTGGTCTGCTATTAACTCAGAATGTCTCTAGAATGAGACCTCACTTACTATTCCCATGAAACCCTACTCTTCAAAGCTCACAGGGTACTTAGAAAAACCCTGCTTTAGTGGACACACACGTAAATGCAAGACTCAAAACATCTCTTACCTCACAATCACCTTGGACAAGAGTCCTTGCTACCCAATGGTCCTTCTGCTTTGCCTTCCTTTCAAACCCAGGCATATGGAAGAGCTCAGTGCTAACAGTTACAACTGAGTACACCTTGACCTCAATGACTCAAGTCCCCATAATAAAGGCTTTCATATCCCACCAAGGAGTATATTTTTGCTTCTTTGAGACCTCTTCATGAACTTGCTGGGTGCTGGTGGCTCATGCCTATAACCCTAGCTACTTAGGAGGCAGAGATCAGGAGGATCAAGGTTGGAATCCAGCCCAGGAAAATAGTTCTTGAGACCCTATCTTGAAAAAACTCATCACAAAAAATGGCTGGTGGAGTGGCTCAAGGTGTAGGCCCTGAGTTCAAATCCAGGTACCATGTACAAAAGTAAAAACAAGAACCCACAGGGGTAGCTGAACTATTTCTTAGATAAAGATGAGAATGCTGGTTGGGGAAAGAAAGGGCTCTTAGGTTTGGGGGAGACTTCCTTTTTACCAGAATGGAAGATGTGAGAAGCAAGTCACTGGACAAATAAGATTGTTTCTGCCTTTTATTAAGGTTTATTGTTTTTCCATCATTAAAAAAAAAGTTAGAAATATTTTCATTAAGAGGTACAGGGATAGTATGTTTTTATGTTTGGACATCTCATGCTGTTTAGAAAGGTCAATACAGTAAGATTTTTTTTTTTAGGTTGGGGAGTTTTGGAAAGAAAAGCAAAATATGCATTTAACCTAAAAAAAGGGTGCCATTTCAGAGAAGAGAGAAGAAATGCTTCTTACCTTGGACATGGCTAGACTTTTAGGGCTATGTGAAGTTCTTCTGTTCTCTCCTTTAAGTTCTCCCAGGAGGGGCAGTGTCCTGAGAAAGCCAGAGCTGGAAAGGAAAGAGAAGCCATAAAATGCCAGACCTGGCCCTGCTGCTCCCACATCATCAGCCTGAAGAAGTAGATTTTACGTATCACCCAAATTTACAATTCCTTTCCCATGTAGCTTAATATCTCAAGAACACAATGTACATTTTGTGCATAAGCTATCCCTCACTCAGGATTATAGACAATAACAGCAACTACAGCAACTACCACGGTAAGGTTTTTCTCAGGTGAGTTTTCCAGTTGTCACAGTAATAAATATTTGAGCCAAGCTGGAACCAAATTGAATTTTTAGTCTCTACCAGATAATGATATTGAAAGAAATCTGTCCTTATCCTTCTCAGGGACGAGAGATAAAGCTACCTTGAGAATGCTTACAGAAAGCATCTTTACACAGACTGGGCCACATGGCCTGAAAGACACTGGACCAGAGTTAGGACCCCAGCCTCTAGTCCTAACTTAGAACAAACTGCGCCTGAAAACCAGCTCTTGACATTTTCGAGCAATTGCTTCAGAAAGAGGGAAAGGTTACAGGAGGCACAGACTGTGCAGGAAACAGCATAGACCCTCTTACTCATACGTTCTTTCCCACTAGACTCACTGCCTTCACAATAAGCATTTAAGATGTTATGCAGGCTGGCAGAGTGGCTCAAGTGGTAGAAGTGTCTGTCCTGTAGTAAGTGTGAGGCCCAGTATCAAAAGAATAAAGAAAAGAAAGATGTAATGCTGGGTCACATCTGTAATCCAGCTAACTTGGAAGTAGAGATAGGAGGACAGCAGTTTGAGGTCACCCAGGCAAAAATTTTAAAAAGTTAGTGAGACCTTATTAAAAGAACAAGCCAGAAGTGGTAGTCATGTCTCTAATCCAGCTACATGGAGAGTAGATAGGATCAAGTCAGAGGCTGACCCAGGCAAAAAGTGGGAGACCCATCCGAAAACTAAAGCAAAAAAATGAGTGGAGACTGGCTCAAGTGGATGCAGTAAGTGCAAGCCTAAGTTGAATATCCCACTATCCCATCTCTAATCCAGCTACATGGGAGAGTAGATAGGATCAAGGTCAGAGGCTGACCCAGGCAAAAAGTGGGAGACCCATCCGAAAAACTAAAGCAAAAAATGAGTGGAGACTGGCTCAAGTGGATGCCAGTAAGTGCAAGGCCCTAAGTTGAAATCCCACTATCACCATCAAAACAATAATACCTTAGAAGAAATCCTACACCTAGGGATCCAAATGCCTAAGTTTAAACACCTGCTCCACCACAATAGTCAGACTGTCCACACAGTCACACAGAGTCTCAGAGTGTCCCATACACTATGATAGGGTCTCATACTGTCACATTCTCAAACACAGTCATGGAGCTTCGAAGGGTCACAGGGTCTCATACACAATGGCATGGTCTCAGACATTGTCAAGGGTCACAGTCCTCACCACCGTCACGGGCACTGTCATACATGATGGTAGGTGCTGTCACATAGTCCCCCACACATGTTCTCGTTGTCGCAGGCCTGTTCACCCACTGGGGCATGGTCTCATTTTGTGACACACAATGTCACACACGTTCAGTGTCACACGCTGTGATAGGCCCTTCACATACGTGGTGTGGTCACATACTGTCACTCACAGTGTCATATACTCTCAAACTTCAGTCTCGCACACTGTCATAGGTTCCCTGAACAGTGGCATGGTCTCATACTGTCACACAATGTCACAAACAGCCATACAGCATCACAGTCCCCACAGCCAGGCCTGCTCACACAAGGGACATGGCCTCACGTTGTGAGACATTCTCACAGTCTCTCACGGTGTCACACAGTGTCCAGTCCACACACTGTCACCAGCCTAGTCACACATGATGGCAGGGACTCACTGTCGCAATGCTCCCACAGGGTGGCACCATCTCATACTGTCACAGACCTGACATTCTCACAACCTGTACAGTATCAAGGTCTCATCCTGTCACAACGATGCCCCTCACCGCCCGCGTTCTCCCACAGCAGTCCTCCACGCTGTCACACGTATTTCACAACGACACACAGGGTGGCGCGGCCGCACTCCTCACCGCGTCCTCGGCGGGGCGGGCCGCTCGCTGGGCGCGGTCGCGCAGGCCGGGCCGGGCCCGGGGCTCGATCTCGCGCCGCCAGCTGCGCTCACAAAGGCGCCGCCACGGTCGCGCAGGAGGCGGGGGCTCCGCGCAGGGGCTGCTGGGAGTTGGAGTCCGGCTCCGCGCAAAACATGCTGGGAATTCAGGGGAGGGTGCCGACACGCCACGGGCGGTTTCCAGCCGTCTCAGCCGCGCCCTTTTCTCCTGTGCCAGCCTTCAGAACCAGTACCGGGACCGCGGAGCCCTGTGAGGCTTCGGAAGAGCGGTTGGGACCCCAGGCCCCCTGCGCAGCTTGTTGGGGCCTGGGGTTCAATGACCGGGAGCGGGACCTGCG